CCTCCGTCGCACAAACGAAAGTGAAATCGCCAGGATAGAAGTACAGCACAACATACCTAAGAAAGCGCCATACAGCCGTAGGGGATCACGTCTCCTTACTTCCCCTTGTAATCCGAGCTGTTCACCGTCCTCAAAGTGTTATCGGGCATACAGGCTTGGGCTGCGAATGCAGGGGCCTGCTTACCAATCAAAGTTCCGAATGACCTGCAGGCTAAGGGTGCCGCAAACCTCGCCATTGCGGGCGAGGCTAAACGGACCATTGGAGTGGCCATGCGAGCCGCTGTCAACGCGCTGAACATTTTCAAAATAAACAACAAAAATCCCCTACAGTTCACAAGTAAGCTCCTGAGAGAATCCAAACCACCCCTCCCAGCATTTCATGACTTTCGAGAGCCACACGTAATCCACCACAAACAGGAGAGGATTCAAGAATGGTATCATTAGCGACGCAAACGAAAGCCGACAATACACACAATCCGATCAATCCTGTGGCGAGCGCGATACAAACAAGGCGGAGCGAAGTTACTCCTGATCCTCACTTTCTGACGACCAACACATACATACGTACGACATTTGCAGAAACACTCAGAAACACATGGCTTGCTAAGCAGGCTTCCTCTTTAGAGCATTCTTAGCTTCATAGGTCGCATATCTAAGGGGGGCCCAAAACTCTCGAGTGAAACACCCAAAAACGACACCGCTGCCTGCAACACCGCAGAGAGGATCTTTCGCAGTCATCGCACAAAGAGATTGCGTATGTTTATGATCATGTGTGAATCGCATTACTTACAGCTGCCCACACGCCGCATCAATGGACCGACCAAATGAATTCCTAAAGGAAGTAGTGATTCCCTCATTAGTGAGAATGGACTGAAATTGGTTCCAATCCTCACAACGCTTGAATGCTGTCGACACATCTCGGGCCTCATTGTATCTACCACGGGACAACCAATAGCCAGCGATAACAGGCATCCATCTTCTCACGGTAGTAGGTTAATATGATACAAATAGCTCGTCTGCTTGGGACGGTCCTTTATCAACTGGGCCAAGGCTCTAGCGTGTCTGTACATGTTTGTCCAGAAACTAACACTGAGGATGGGCACTCACCGTTCACTATCGTTGATACTCTTCAAGAGCAAGTACGATATCCATATTCGCCTGCCAGTCCT